TTTTTTTGCCTAGATATCTTAATTTTTATTTAATTTTATTTAATTTTAATTTAATATTTGCCCAGATTATCTTAAACTTACATTTAACCATGTCATATAAACACACAGCAATTGCAGATCTTATTTTAATTTTGGTTCATTTTACGTGTCTTAATGCGCTGTGAATTCCTAGTCCGTGGATTATCTTATGATTCAATATACTCTACAAACCCCAGAAAATGGGTTTTCAGTATCCAAGGTAAGCATGTTATGCGGTCCCAGCCTATAAATCATTTGTCCACATGACAAGTAAGAGACTTTAAAACACAGGTCTGTTCAGTGTGCTTCTGCCAAGTGATTCTAAAATGCTATATGACAATATAGATGCTATTAAAATGATCCACATATATCCACTGCATTTTTCGGAGGTTTGCCAACCTATTTAAAAAGAAATGAGATGCAAGGAAGCAATATTACGCTAGCACTGTAGACTAATTTGTCACCACAACCATCAGTGCCACACTATATATAGTACAGAACTCTTGGATTGCCCTTCATAAAACAGCTATAATGCTGAAAAATGCTTTACCTCTCAACAGCAAACAGTAGCTAACTTGGGTAGTGACGAATCACTAGGGATGAGGAACATAGCCCAAATTCAGTCAGCTGCCTCTTTAATCTCCAATGGGATTATAAAACTGTCAACTCCATTGCGCTGTTGCATTTTTTTCCTACCGCAAATTACAGTATTTCTGGGGTATTTATTTATTTATCTACCTAACCTGTCTGCTGTTTTGCTTTAACAAACCAAAGGAAGGCAATGACGGTAGTTTCAAGGCACTCACCTTTTCCAAAGAAGTCCAGTACTTGTTGTTACAGCTGCTGTCCCTACGAAAGCTACCATCATAAGCCTACGCCGACTTTGAGGATAACGAGCCATGCCAAAATGGCACCTGGAAGTGGCTGCTAAGCCCGCCAGGGCAGGGAGGAGACGGAAGCGCAACATTCTGAGGAAGAAACATAAAGAAAACCATAAGAACGAAAGCATCAGAACAGCACCCTTTGGTAGATGATAAACTGAGAGAAAAGGAACAAGACGACGTGCCAGCAGGCCAATGGGAGATAGCTGGAGAAAAGCGAGATTCTTCTGGTTGACTGCGCAAAATTCCAGGCTGGGCCTACGCTAATGGGCTTAAAAGGAAGACTACGCATCACCTCAGTCTTGGAGACTCTGGTTTGGTTCCCGGCAACCTAAAATGCATCCTGATGCTCTCTAGACATCTTAGACCACACGTCTAGTCAGTCCCAGCCAGAATATCCCGAGAAGCTATAGCGGTGAAGCAGATCTTGTTTCAAGTCTACTTTCAGCCACAGGAACTCACCAGGTGATTCTGGGTCATGCACTCTCCTTTAAAAAAGGGTTGCTGGTATGAGGAATAAAACGAAGGGAGATCCCCATGTAATCTAACAATAAAACTAATCCAATCAAAAAGATTTGCAGTCCAAAATATCTAGAGGGCACCAGATTATGGAAAGCTGCATTAGCTTATATTGTGAAAGTACTCACTGAAACATCTGTTATGGGATCAGAAAGTCAAACTCAACCTAGCCTTTGCATCATAACCCAACTACCACAATCACGTAAGTTAGGGCTAGTCTCTCCTCCAGATGACTAGGACTACAATTTGTGTAAACCCTAACGAAGATAGACAGCGACCAATGATTATGGAAATAATAGTCTAGATACCAGGCTATCTACAAATAGCAAAAGTAACAAAATAGGACACTACCCTGAATTCTTCTCGTCCAAGATTAAGAGACCTAGAGATACACAGGTAACGCTATCAAGCACTACCCAAAAGCTTCTATTGACTCCCCAAGCACATTTTGTTTTGCATAGTATACAAAGGGAAATATACTGAATGGTTTAAGTAAGAAAATTTGTAGGAGTAAGAAAAGTGCCAGTTTAGTTTGGTTGTCCTCTCTAGAGAGTGTAAAAATAGTAACTTTGCCTAATATTCTGTAGAGGATTCATCAGTAATTAAGATGTTCTTTTTATAAAAGCTCCTATTTCCAAGCCAACAAAATCAGTTTATTGGCCAGATTATTAGAGAAAGAAAAGTGGAAAGCTGGCTACTGATCTAAATGGTATTTAAACATGAACTCTTTAAAATGGAAACATCATCCCTAAGCACAGACAACAATCTATTTCAGAGGTACCTGTGGGAACTGCAAAAATGGAAACAACTGCTATAAGAATGATTTCCACATGTGAGCGCATTTATGCTGAGGCTGTTTGTTCCATCTTGTTCTTTAGGTGCTAGCTCTCTAACACCACAACTTTTTGTACAGAAATCTGCAAAATAACTTTAATGATTTGTGGCATGAAGACTCCTTTTACAGAACCCAAGAGGTTTTGCCATCATTTCCAAAAGAAAATAAATCCATCACCCCAACCCATCAGTGCAAACATAACTAGGGTTAGAGCAGAAGGTAAGGTTGGACTGCACAATACATAATCACTATTCCCAATTCCCAACACACCCTTTCAATGTTAACTATAATTAACACAGTTGGAATAATCAGACTAATATTATAATTAATTAGATGTATTAATTAGCTAATGTAGGCTAATTAAAGTTAATTGGGGCTTCCAAAATCTTCCATCTTTATCCCAAATTATTTTTCAATCTGACCATGAATTACAATCTTGCTATAAATGTACTGTTATACTACAGTTAAAGATGAAATAGGGAAAGGAATTAGTCTAAGGAGGATGGGAAGAGAGAACGCAAGGTTACCGGTAGTCCTTGACTTACAACCATTCATTTAACAACCCTTTGAAGTTATGATGGTGCTGAAAAAAGTGACTTACAACCAGTCCTTGCACTTTAGACCATTGCAGAATCACTGCAGTCACATGATCAAAGTTCAGGCGCTTGGCAACCGGCATATATTTACCACGGTTGCAGTGTCCCAGGGTTATGTGATTGCCATTTGTGATCTTCCCAGCTGGCTTCCGACAAGCAAAATCAACGGGGAACCACATGATTCACTTAACGACTGTGTGATACACTTAACGACTGCTGCAAAAATGTCATAAAATTGGGTGCAGTCACATGATGTCTTGCTTAACGACTGCACCGCTTAACGATGAATTTTCCAGTCCCTACTGTGGTCATAAATCAAGGACTACCTGTATAAGGAATTCTCAAATTCTTATCTAATGGTGAGTTAAGCATAGCATGTACATTTAAAATATTAAGTTCCTGATATAAATCTAATGAATAAAATAATAAATGGTGGAATTTCTATTTCCCCCTTCTTCTAGGATATAAAGCATTCCCTCCTCTAAGTTTTCTCTACAACAACAATCCTATGAGGTATGTCAGGCTGAGAGAGTGACTGGCCCAAAGTCATCCAGTGAATTTCCATGGTTGAGGATGAATATGATTTAGGCTATAGACCTGGGCTGCAAAAATATAGATGAACAGGGTTATATACTTAAGATGAGAGGCTATATAATTTTTCAAAATAAAATATATAAATAAATGACTTTAGATGACAGCAAAGAAAGACAGAAAGCTCTAATTTTTTGCTGTGGTCTAGTGGTTATCCAGATTTTTGTATTCCTTGTCTCATAGTCCTAGACTTGAATCTGGGTCTCCCTGGATCTAGTTAACAGATTATTCACTCTCTCTGTATAATTAAACAAATCTGCTTGAACTTCTTAATATAAATCAGAAAACTCAATCATAGGATGCTACCCCTAGTCAATTGCCCACAACAGAAAATCAAGGAAGCAATAAAGGAAAGACTTATGACCAAGTAAAATATTTCAACTAAAATTGAAATTGATACTAGCTGGATGTACACACTATGCAAATTCATGCTTTCTTTAAATTCATGGGCAACTGAATATAAAGCATTTATTATAAACCAAAGAAACCATATTATGCCCAGCTTAGCATGCTGTATGACCCAGGTCAATGGATGAAATGGTTACAATAGTTAGAAGAAGAGGAATTTGTGGAATGTCAGGAAACGGAAATAGTGGGAATATCTGAGATGCAGAAAAAGCTATGCCCTTCAAAAACTTAATACTGGGCAAAACTTCAAAAATTGTCAGAAGGAAACAAAATGAGAGACCAGAGAAGGAAAAAGTTAAGCAACAGAACCAGCTTTCAACATCTATTTCTCTTCTTCCATGTCCACCAGCTTCTCAGTTTCCCTAGCTTGATCGAAGGGATACAAAGCAGCAGGGCCTTGAAAAACAAATTCATATATGGGATGATGCTTATGATAGATTAAAAACAACGTTTCAAAAGTATTATTTTGCAGTAAAGGAGGAACCAGTTTTTTGTTTTTTTACTGTTTCTTAAGCATGAGCTTGGTCAGTCAGTCATGAACTATTTTTAAAAGCAGTTTCACTCAAAACATTTTATTCATAGGCAGCATTTTTTCCATAAGCCTCTACCGCTTTCCAATTTTTACTGCTTCATCAGAGATCGGACAATCTGTCATGCACTTCTGGCCTCTTTAGAACAGCTACTTGGCAAGCAGTGTTGCACTTTATAAGATTATTTCCTAAGACTTCCAATAATACTGAAGTCCATATTGCTTTTGAAGTCCACCCTGACAAACTGTGTGAATGCAAGCTCAAAAAAAAGACCATTCTCCATTCAGATCAGAGCGTCGAGATTTTAATTGGACAATTACAGGCTCAGCTTTATGGCATTCTCAACCTCCGGAAATGTTTTGTTGTGTAACAGTTGTCACAACTCATTAAGAAAGCCTTGCGAATGAAAGATTGCAATCAAGAATCTTATTCTTCATTTCTCAGCTATGGTTAAGCCACTTGGAGTATTACATCTGAAGTCCCTGAACAGTTAATTGCAAGCCAGCCCCTCTAAAAGGATATATTCTGGTTACCAAATTATGAAAGCTTAGCACTAGTAAAATTACTCAAAGCAGGCCATGGTAAAATCTATCAATCCTAGCAAAAACCAGATTGATAATGAAAAAGGCGAGGAGGAAAGCAGGTGAGAAGAGCCCATGTTTGTGAACTGATGCTGACGCTGTGAGTTATGGCCATTACCGAAACAGGTCCCTCTAAAAGTAAACACGCAAAGGAAAGACTGCACCACCAATTACTAAAGAGACAGACAACAAAAGGGGATTCATTCCCACTTAGTAGCTGTTAAACAATTTTGTAGCAAACCCCATGCTGCTGTACTGCACTTTCTACGAGGAACTTGGTTGGTTCAACCTCAGAGATCACAATCAAAAACATATAATGTGGAAGAAGATCAAAGCAGCTTCTGCAACAGTTTTCTCTTAGAACATATGGGAAATACGGAAGTCCCTATCTCCCAGCAGCAATTTCAAAGGTCAAAGCTGGTGCATATAGACACCAGTGAGCTGTTAGACATTGGAGAAAGTAGAGGGAACAAGAGAGCATCTTTGTATTCAGTGTCCTGAGACAGTAAAGATGCAGGAATCATTTCATATGCAGAGAACTTCATGTCCTTCATGTCCCTCCTTTTAGATGTAAAGGGAAGGAGGCTAGTTATGGTTATTAGCGGTAGCCAGTGCTGGTCTTAGTCATTCAGTTGTAGGGAAGGATGTATTAATCTTACTACTTTGTACTGTATCCTCCTTCAACATCTCAGCATTGTCTAGCTCAGTGTTTCTCAACCTTAACAGCTGTAAGATGTGTGAACTTCAACTCTCAGAATTCCCCAGCCACCCATGTTGGCTGGGGAATTCTGGGAGTTGAAGTTCACACATCTTAAAGTTGCCAAGGTTGAGAAACACTGGTCTAGCTGGTGGTAGCGCTTTCTTCGGACACTAGAAGCATCTCATAACTGATTTTGTTGGAGCAACACCATGGTTGCATAGCCTGATGATGATTTGCGATCACACTTTTCTACTTCAAGTGTCCCTTACAAGTTTGGATCTCTGCAATTTCTTGCTTCCTCATCTAGCTCCGAGCTCAGTTCAGGAACAGAAAGCGAGAGTTGTTTTGT